ACCGACGAACTGAACCAGATAACCCGGGTAAATGTGTCGGAAAGCCCAGATCTCACGGAGAAGCACCCCACCCTTCGCATCCAATGCACACCACGCATTAACCTTGTCAATGATAATCTTGGCATCCCCCTACACTTGCACCGAGTCCCAACCATTCTCAATGCAACAATAGAGAGCTTCCCGGAGAACAACTAACTCCACCACGGCCCGATCAAACTCCCCTTTCAAGCGTTCACCTTTAACCATCATAACAACCCCAATTGCATCTTGAACAATAATCCCTATTGCCGCATGGGAATCACCACTCATTGCTCCATCAAAAGAGCAAACCAACGCCGAGGGACATTCTAGATCCATGACCGTCGCATGTCCGGGTAGGCCACTCTCAACACCCATCTCCTCCCTTGCCACTGCTCGAAGCCATTCCTTGGACATGATAGGAAAGATGCTGCTGAAGTTTCAAAATGCCGACTTGTTTAAACTCGAAGATCACCCAATTTTGTGCTTTCCAAATGCGCCACAACACTGCCACAATCTTATACACCCTCTCCAAGGATGTAGCACGCTCCAGAACCCGACGAAGGAAGATAACAAAATTTGACCTATCTAGCTAGTACGCCAAACCCCGAACATCGGTGTTGTGCACAAAGCCTCTGCCACCAGGCATAGAAAGAAGAGGTGTTCCATCATTTCCAAATTCGCCCAACAAACTGGGCAACGAGTCACAACCTCAACTTTCTTTTCTAGCAGAGCTTCCGTGGTTGGTAAGATGCTACTAAAGATCTACCACGAGAAGAACTTCAGCTTAGGTTTCACCGGGAGAGACCAAATAGTCACCCAAATAAGCCTGAGAAGAGAGAGATTGAAAGAGAGATCAAACAATAAGCCTGAGAAGAATAGCACATAAATCTCGCTTGTTCAAGTTCAAAGTAAAGAAAAAGAAAAACTTTTATGCGACTTCTCTTTCCATAGAGTGGTTTTGCTCAGCCGATCGGAAGGAAAAAAACGAAGATCTGAGTTGTGGAAATAAAATTAGAAAAGTAACTGTCATGTAGGGTGCGGAGGAGCTTCTCAAATGTCAACTGCGGTTTCCGTCGTTGCTGTACCCAGAACACGACAATAGTTAATTGTCCTAGTATTATGAAACACACAAATAAATTAGACTATATTGATCATATATCATTGAAAATTCCCAATTTTATAGTCTTTATTCTAAAATTTCTAATTCTACTAAATATGTGTACAAAAACCTCCAGCTATATCTAAAAAGCTTCTAGTTCAACAAATTTTTCCTATCAATATATAATTTCTTTTTCATCAAATGTGTTTTATAAAACGTTTGTCTGTATTAGATTTTGCTTGGGAACTATTTAGTTTAGCTAGTTATTGAAATATCACTAATGGTTTGATGAATGACTACTCGACTGATTATTTTGAAGAAAATTTACTTGATAATGGAATAAAATGTTATAAATTTTTTCGTAAATGGGACCCCATTAAACTCGAATCCTGACTACGTCACTGCTTTGAGCACCAGCACTCATGAATTATATACTATGAGCACCATAGCAAAATTGTCCCATATACCGTGTTTGACATATCAACTTCCATACTTTTTTTTTGCAACTGAAGGGAAAGTGGACAAACTAGCTAGGCCCTCTTTGCTTACCACTACTAGTGGCTTAGCTAGATATTTCTGTGGCTTGGTGTAACCACACATTGGTGAGAGTCAGACATTGGATACTGGATAGAAAGCTTAGCAACAAGTGGAAGTGTGGAGCCATACATAGATAAAAGTTGAGATCGCTGCTGGCCGGCCGACATAGGATGGGAGATAAAGAGATAGGCATAGGCGTCTTCTGGTTTACTCTTCTCAAGTTCTAACCCGTAACCGGGTAAAATAAGCAAACGGAGTATATACAGTACTGAAGCCATCAAGTCAAGGGATGGATAGACGACGTGGGCCGGGGGAAGCCCATAAATGGTGGAGGAGAGGATGGGGAAGGGAGAATTCACGACGTCCACTCACTTGGATGATGATGAAGATGAGATGATGGCTTCTTATTTTCAAATCGGTTTGTTTTTTTCTCGGGGCCGGCAGCCGGGGACAAAAATGGCGACCTTGCAGAGAGCTCTTTATTAAGTTTGTTTGTGAACTCTCTCCCTTTATTAGCTTTGCTAGAATGTCTTTTTGTGGCCACCATGTGCTAGCTTATGGACCACTAACGGCTTAATTTACACTGCGCAAGACTGTGCATGGTGGTTTTACGTACATTGTTTCAAAATCGTCTCCGGCCTCTTTAGCCTTGGTATCATTTTCACTGTCCGTTTACACGTAAACATAGACGAAAACATATTTTAGCTATGTTTTGCACAATAATAAGAGTTAACATAAATTAGCAAATATCAGTGAAACTATTTTAACTAGCTTCCTTGTTGTTTTACAAAAACTGTACTTCATTGAAAAATTCCTACAATACCTTGAAGTTATGGTAACTTGATATTTTTGACCTGCTATAACAGGTTTCACAAGTCGCATTACGTAAAATACAATAGGCATTACGTTCAAGTTATAGTAACTTCAAGGCATGGTAGGAGGTCCCTCACTAGTCACTACTTCATGTTATGCTACAAATTTGTGTATCTATACATTTTTATGTACAAATAAAATTTGTACAAATTTCGTACAAACTAAACTTATATATTTAAAGTTATAGTATAAACTCAGTTGGTACCTATATATTTTCGTACAAATTTCTTTCTAGTACCTGTATATACACTATTCACCGATTCCTTTCGGCATGAGATATTTTTTCACAGCAAAAGTATCTTCGGCTTTGGGAGTTGCAAAAGGGCAAAAAAAGAGCCTTCTTGTCTTCAACCGCCCTCACGTCAAGACACCGCACCATCACATGCACGCCATAACGTTACCGCGGCCATAGCTAAGCTAGCTATCTTGCTCCTCCAAACCCTGTCCTTTACTTTCTATCCCTTCCGCGAAATCTTCAGCGTCTCAACAAAAAAAAAAAAAAAATGAACGATCTAGATGATCATTACGTAGCCAAGGCATATCCCTTGGAATCCCGTCTATATAAACCCTACCCCGAAACCCTTCCTTTTCACCACCACCGCTCTACCTTCTTCTTCTTCTTCTTCTTCTCCTTACTCATCCATTCCCCTCAACATGAACACCAACCTCGCAATGCTGCCTCTCCTCTTCCTCCTCCTCGCCTCCCCCGCCGCCGCCTTGGTCCAGGACTTCTGCGTCGCCGACCTGAAATCCTCCGACACACCCGCCGGCTACCCGTGCAAGTCGGTCACCTCCGTCACCGTAGAAGACTTCGCCTTCGCGGGCCTGGGCGCCCCCGGAAACACCACCAACATCATCAAGGCCGCGGTGACGCCCGCGTTCGTGGGCCAGTTCCCGGGCTTCAACGGGCTGGGCCTGTCCATGGCCCGGCTGGACCTGGCCCTGGGCGGGGTCATCCCGCTCCACACCCACCCGGCCGCATCCGAGGTGCTGTTCGTGGCCCAAGGGACCATCTGCGCGGGCTTCATTTCGTCCGGGGCCAATAAGGTCTACTTGAAGTCGCTCAACAGGGGTGAAATCATGGTTTTCCCCCAGGGGCTGCTCCACTTCCAGTTCAACTCGGGGAAGGGACCCGCGCTCGGGTTCGTGGCGTTCAGCAGCCACAACCCGGGCTTGCAGATCACCGACTTCGCGCTGTTCGCCAACGACCTGCCGTCGGAGGTCGTCGAGAAGGTCACGTTCTTGGACGATGCCCAGGTGAAGAAGCTCAAGGGTGTCCTCGGTGGCAGTGGCTAGCTGAACATTATTCGTTTTTGGGTGCAAGTTATGAAATGAGCTAGTTGGGAATGGAGTAATTGCATGTGTGCCTTCTTGTTGTTGTAATGTCTTTTGCCGGCTTTTCTGATTATCTGTTTGTATTCCTTTTGTTCCATTCTGATGACATTTGTTGTAGTTCTTCAATTGCATTTGGTCGACGTTGTTATGGTTGACATTAATCATCTTCAAATAAAGATAAAAAAAGGGCAGTTTGACAACGTGCTAATAATATGATTTTACTAAAAAGTTGCTTGCGTAAAGTGTATAAGTAAAAAAAGTGAAGTGTGTATTTTCACAATAGTATTAGTCTCACATGCTTCATTTTTTCACACAAATTTAGTAGTCAATTTGAAACGAGTTTACTCGTATTGAAGAGACAATGTCTTTCTCTCTTTTTTCCACAATAGCTAAATTTTTCCTACGATAAATATGGTAGATTTATCCTGGTGGTCTCTTAGATCATCATACTTGGCAATGAAGAGACTTTGAATAGAAAGATTGGACAAAGTAGAGAGTTATGTTAAAAATTTATTAAAAAAATGGTAGAAAGTATCTATAGGGAACTCTAAGTAACGCATGACAGAGAATAAAAAACAGTAAAAATATCCTTATACACTAATAATTGACAATTTTTATTTAACTCGTTCTCTTTCATATATGTGATTTTGTCTTTCGGTAAATATTAGTTATTTGTCACGTAGGCCAAGACATTGATTCTCTTTGTGCTTTGCTCGTTTGAATTTGGCCCATTCTGGACTATATGAGTTTTATTAAAGATTATTGTTTCTAGCTTAACCTCAGTTAAAGCATATTTACTTACTAATGTAGCTCTAACTAGCGGGAGCTTCCATTAATCATGTCATGCTCGCCACCATTAAAAGTGATGAAATGAAAGGACAAGCAGGAAACCAGTCTCTTTAGGTAACCACATAGGCCCAAACGAAAGTCCAAAGCCCATCTGTGAACGTGTTCGCTTCTACTTTTCCTGATATGTATGGGCCGGACTCTAGTACGACGGTCCACAAATATGCCCAAATTGGGCTCGCAGGGATCCAACAATACTTCAAAATAAATAAGAATAAAATTATTTTTCGAAGCCGGTGTCCGATTCCTATAAATACGGCGAATGAGGGGGAAAAAATGGAAAAGAAAAGGTGGCTTCAGAACGCCGAGATTCCAACTCATACAAACGAAAGAGACAATATAACCTTAGCCAAACAAAACTCCATTAAAAAGCAAACCAGACGCAATTCTCATTTCTCGATCACCATTATTTGGCGTTGAAAGCAAAAAAAAAACCCACCGGCGGCATGAGTCTCTTCGGCCTCGGCAGCAGGTATAGCATCAGCTTCTTCCTTTTCTTTTCTCCCCGATTTGGGGCGGTTTTGATTTGATCCCCCGACGCATGTTTCAGTCTGGTAGTCTCGTTCTTGTTTGATCGTAGTATCGATTTTTTTTTTCTTGTCTCTTTTTTTTTTGGACGCGTACATGGGTCTTTGTTGTTGAGGAAGAATCCACAGTGTGAATTATTTACCCATGGCGATCAACCGGCCAACTGCTCTCTCTCTCTCTCGCTCTTGGAATTCTATGGTTGTGTTTCCCCATTAATTTTGAGTCTTAGATCATGGAATTGGAATTTTTGGACCTCTGGTGTCCGAAGATTTCCATGTCATCCCCCCCATTATACCCATTTTCAGGACCTTCTTATTCAGAATAAATAGACCCTGGCTTTTTTTCCAGCTTTTCTTTGTTGATTCGATTTCCCCCTTTTGTTTTACCTTGGCCTTCATTCTTTTTGTGTTTCTTTGGCTGGTAATTCGATGGAAAAAAGATGTAGCCTTAAAAAAAAATATATGGCAGCACCCGAATATGCCACCGGAGCTGTGTGTTTGCTGATTTAATGTTGTGCTAATCCTGCAACAGCACCTTGAGTTCCATGTCTGTCTTAGTGGTGGGTAGTTTGTATTCGATTTTGTTTTGGAAGATGGAGGTATATGCTTCCTTATCTTCGTATGAAAAACTGTCTTCCTACGGTTGAGGGAGTTCATTCATTTTGCTTTGTACTTGATTCCCGGTATTTTAATTGCATAATGTCTGTCATTGCTACATTGTTGCTCTCCATTCAGCCTCTGACTTGTTTATCTTCTTGGATTGTAATTGTTTTGGTTTTGAAGAAACCAGAGGACGTTTCGGCCTAAGAAGAATGCTCCATCCGGTAGCAAGGTTTGTGGAAGAGTCTGTTCCCTAGTGGGGGGGTATTTTTGTTTCCAGGCAGTTGTTAAGTTTGACTGAATTCCTTCTCAATTTATACAGGGTGCTCAACTTCAAGCACATATTGATGCTACCTTGGGTAGTGGCAACTTGAGGGAAGCTGTAAGACTGCCTCCTGGCGAAGATATCAACGAGTGGCTAGCCGTCAACAGTGAGTTCATTGCTTGGCGCCTTTTTTGTCTGATAATTTGCTTGGATATTGTATTTGGGTATCTTTCAGTACTTGAAACTGCATATCTTACAGATCCATGTAGGAATTGTGAATTTAGGTTTCATCTCTCGTCTGCTAGTATTTCGACTTACTTCACGATTCTCTTTCACTCGGTAGACTTGTATGTAGGTGTGTAAAATCCAATTTGATATATTCTTTTATCTGTGTAATCTATTTGAATGAAATCTGATTATGATCATTTTGATATTTTGTTGTCCCTATCCTTGTGCTTCAGCTGTGGATTTCTTCAATCAAGTGAACATTTTGTACGACACTTTGAGTGAATTTTGTACACCATCCAACTGTCCAACAATGACAGCCGGCTCAAAGTATCACTCTTTGACCCTCCCTATGCGAATTATGTTTGTTGTTTGAATGTAGCATATCACCATTGTATTATGATTGGACATTAACCATATTCTCAATGTTCTTGGGTCTTACTGCTCCTCCTAATTTCTGTACAGATACGAGTACAGATGGGCTGACGGTGTTAACATAAAGAAGCCGATTGAGGTCTCCGCTCCAAAGTATGTTGAGTATCTTATGGACTGGATTGAGTCTCAGTTAGATGAAGAGAAGATTTTCCCTCAAAGACTGGGTTAGTAAATAATTTCCTCTACAAGTAAACTTATGTGCTATAGCAAATAGAAGATTGTGGCCAAGTTCTTAGAACATCTGTGGCTCTGTCCTGTGTCCAGGTGCACCATTCCCTCCAAATTTCCAAGATGTCGTGAAGACAATCTTCAAGAGATTATTCCGTGTATATGCCCACATATACCACTCACATTTCCAGAAGATTGTGAGCTTGAAGGAAGAAGCACACCTAAACACTTGCTTTAAACATTTTGTTCTCTTTACATGGGTAAGATTTTCTTAGCACTGACTACCTACAGAACACGTTTTGCATTCTTCCCTTTCTAACGTGGTTGGCTCATCAACAGGAATTTCGACTGATCGACAAGGGGGAACTGGCGCCTCTTCATGACCTTGTTGAGTCCATCCTTTGATCACAGTTTCCATGCGTGTGGAAACTGATTTCTTTTTCTTCTTGTTTTATCTTACTAGCAGGTTTTACAGTGGTTTTAACCATTCCCATAGGACTGCTGATCATGAAACAACGTAAGAAGTGTTGTGAAACCTGTTAGGCTCTCCTAATTGTTTTGCTGAGGGCACAATTTTTCCTCTTTTTTCGTACTGTATATGTATTTAGCCAGCTGTTGAATTGTTGATAATATGGTTGTGAGATTCCAGAAATACTGTATAATATTGTAGTTGGAAATTATCATGTACAGGTGTTATAAATAGATAAATTCTTAAAAGTTTACATACTCTTATTCCATCATTGAGATTTGGTAATTGGACTTTTCCAGTCAACCCACCATGCAGGCTCTCCTATTTGTTCGTCAGCACTCAGCTTTAGCTGGTTTAATCTGAGATTTGGGATGAATGTAGAAAGATTCATTTGGATGATTTCTCATACTCGTTAAGGTGCATTCTTTGCTTCTTTCGTTTAGAACGATTTATCGTTAGCAAATGACATTGATGTCTCATATAAATTCATTAAAGTTTGACTCGGAGTCATGACCCTGAGCCCTTGGCCTTCGGTCACTATCTCGAATGTTTGGCTCAAAGCCTAATTTGATTATTTCTCCATGACCTTCATTCTTACCTATGATATTATTTTACAAGTGCTTATACATAAATCAATAAGGCTAATACTACTACAACACCCGATTGTACCCGAACTATGAAGAAAATGTCATTTGTGTAACTATTTTTCTGTTAAAGTTGACTTGTTTTGACCATTAGTTTTTAACAGAAAGTCCAATCAGCGTTGATGTGGTACATGACGTGGAATTTTAAAATAATTAAATAACAACTAAAAAAATTAAAACATTACAAAAATTCCTATCTCATCTACCTGGATCCCCCGTCCCCAGCCTGCTCCGCCTCCTCCTCTTACCTGCCGCAATCTTCTCCTCTCATTCTAATCGCCGACGGCAAACCTCCCCTATTCCCGACTAGCAACACCAACAACAGCGACCACCGCCATGACCCTTCCAGCAGAGATCGACAACTTCCGAACCTCACCCAACTGCGTCGCCGGCCCCTTACCCACACACCAGATTCGACAGACCCTCATCGACCGCGTCTACGGCAGCACTTCCCCTTTCGATGACTTTCTTCCGCCACAAGAACCTCAAAGGTTGGGGCTACCCTCAGAATTGAGCTTTAAGGAGTTGGACAGAAACTAACAAGAGAGTAATTAAATGTGACATGTTTCAGTAATTTAAGTGACCAAAATTCATATTATTTTTTGTTTAGTGACTAAACAGTAAACAGAACATGAGTTAGTAATCTCAGTGACCAAATGTAGCATTTACTCCTAAGAACATGAGTTAGTAATCTCGATGACTTTCTATTATTATTTAATACAATCACAAAAAAAATCATAAAAAAAATCATCACATCGAACTTGAGTCAGTGTATTGGCCGAAGAGAAAGATAGCTAACTTGTATTGATTAATTTCCTTACCAGAGAGCCCACAGTAGATTTGAATTACCTCTCTCATTTTCAGAGCCTCAGATCGTGAAGCTTTCTCAAAAACCCATTATATTATATCGTGAGCGAAAAACACATGCAAACGAGAGAGACATAATGAATAGACATTGCCGATTAGCTGGCGCATTTATACATGCTGAGTGGCTGGCGCATTTGCATCTCGTCTTCCCTCCAATTATCGGGAACATTCCATTTCATTAAAAAAAAAACAATAAATAGTTCAAATTCCTTTTCCCTGCGATCACCCGGCTTCCCGATATCCAATTAACGAATCGCCATGACCGACGGCGATCTCACCATCGGCGGAGGAATCTCCTACCCAACCCCCGACGAGGATTTCCCGCTACCCGTCATTCCCACCAAGCTAAACAGAACAAACTACCACCTCTGGCACCGTCGCGTAACCGTAGCCCTCACAGCCGCCGACCTAATCGGCTACGTCAACGGCGAAATCAAGAAACCCGCCGCCGCCACCGACCCAAATCACCGCGACTGGGCAAGGTCCAACGCCACCGTCCTGCTGTGGCTCCTCCACACCCTCGCCGACCCAATTGCCCAAACCTTCTACCGAGTCGAAACAGCGGCCGAGCTGTGGGAGCAACTGGAGAAGTCGTTCGGAAGACCAAATCCAGCTCGCCTAATCGACCTCAAAACTCAGATCTTCACCATCCGACAAGGTAACCTCTCTGTTACGGACTACCACTCCAAATTCGAATCCCTGTGGGCAGAGTATCGTTTTCACAGGCCGATTCCTAAATGTAGCTGCGACTGTGAAGCTGTGAAAGCTCTAAACAAGTATCGGGAAGAAGAGCGCGTGGTAAGCTTCCTTAATGGGTTGAATGAGAAATTTAGCACCGTCAGGGATCGGTTGCTGGTTAGGGACCCTTTGCCTAGTTTTCGTGATGCTTTGGACGAGGTTAGGGTGCGCGAATTACGAGTGGAAGCAAGAGAGGTTGGTAGGGATGGTTCGAGTGAGAGATTGTTTTGCAGGTACTGCAAGATGGACAACCATGTCGTCGAGAACTGTTTCAAGTTGAAGAACAAGAGAAGAAATGGAGGGATACAGCGTGCACATTGATATGATCTGGTGGAATTGTGTTTAAATTATGCTCGTCGAGGAGGTTTAATGTGTTCTACGACGAGATATGATATGGTCTCGTAATCGACGTTGAAATGGTCACATCATGATGTGGGCATAACAGTGAACCTGTTTAATGTCAATGCTTGTAAGTTCAGCAACTTATTGAACTGCATAAAGCATAGCTTGAAACAGTGTCATTTGCTTTCAAAATTGACAGTCCTGTTTAAGGTTTTATTGACATCCAAGAATGAATATAAACTCTACTCACTAAGCCATCATCCAATGTGTATATGGTGGCTCCAACAAATCTGGAGCCGCTTTTAAGTGCAAACCAACCCTGTTCAGCCCCAATTGAGCCGACATTTTACAGCTTTTCCATATCCCTCAGTGGCTACATACATTAGTATTCGTGTCGGTGTTGTGTTTTGTACACACACAAAAAAAATAAAGTTGTGGAGCTATGACTACAATCAATGCCAATGGTTCCCTCCTCCATTCCTTCAGCTATGCACTTTTCTTTCTTGCTGTTGAATGTTTCCAGGTTCTCTCCTATCAAGTAGAAACAGTTCTTAAAAAGGTCGACGACGAGATGTACAAACGCCAGTTTCCGACTTAATACTTGTGGAAGAATGGCAGGCAGCACCATACCTCTCCTCAAAAGTCAGGCTTCTGGAGTTGGGCGCAACCTGTTGGAGAGTGAAACAAGGGGGGGAAAGCTTTCTCTCTGCCTTTGTCTTCTGGTTTTACTTTCTCCTTCCCTTTTCACATATGCACCCTGGTAGAGGATTTGCATAGAAACTCTCTTCCAGCTTCGGAAACTCTCCTACCTCCCTATAGTATGGCCCTCCATCACGATCCCGGTGAAGCTTTTTCACTTTGGAACTGAACCTCTTCCATGACAATGTCCCCTCGTCTAGCTCATCCACAAGTTTCACAAAGTTCATCCTGCAACAAACAATAAAGCAAAACATGACAAACAGCTACGTACGAAGCGCTTGTCTAACTGCAAAAATAACATTTTCGGAGGTCATGTTTTTTGGGGAGAGATTATTACTTGTCGGGGTTGATGGTCTTCTTGAAGTTCTCAAATCGACGGTGCCCCTGAACTGCCTTAGCCATATTTCCATCATATGTATACACAAACACATCACTCTGAAGTGCAACAACATAGTCTATACCAGCCAACATGTTCTGATGATTCTTGAAAGGTTCCAGCTCCTCTTCTGTAGCCAGAGATGAATGCGAGAATATGTTCGGGAAGTCGTCCTCGAGATACTGCATGCTCCCATTCCCATAGGCCTCGCCAGCTACCAAGTAAATCCTAGTGCTGGAAGGAAAACCCAGTGCTCTCAACAGTAGAGAAGTCTCCCTAGGAGTCAATGGACAACCACCTTGCAACCTTCTTTCTGTCCCATTTATCTCTTTCTCCTTCCAATGATTCACTTCATAACGCATGATGCGTAGCTCCTCGTCCTCTTCTGCGCTTAAACTGTGACTGCAGCCAGTAAATGCAAGCATATCCTTCTCATACCTGTAGCCAATGGAGGACATGACATGAGTCAACATAGCATGCACAATCACTAGAACCTGAAAATATTAGGAGCATGCTTGTTGCAGAAGCACCTTTTTTATAATACAACTAACGGTGTGTTTACTTTATGCAACCAGTATTTCAAAAGACGAGGCAGTAGGTAAAGGATTCTAGAAACTGAAACACAGGTTTTAGTAAAGCCACAACCAGAACCAACCTCAAATGAAGTGCAAGGTAAGGATTGCCATTTACTCTCATTCTTGCCACCAGCAAGTTTCCAAGTTCTTCTATTGGTTTGGCATATTTCAATGCCCTATAATTCACACGACATCTTAGTTTTTGGATTGAATCCGGAATACCATTGTTTGCAATCCGAGAATCAGTGTGCGTAAAGTAGACTACTCTGTGCTGCTTCAGCAATGGCAAGACGTCGGTTTTATAATAACTAACCTGCACAAAGGGAACAGAATCCTCTTCGTTGAGAGAGTAGAAAAACTTTATCATTCATTATTTTAGGACTTCAAGAAACTAATAAAGGAACAAAAGTTATGGTGACCGACCTTAGACCAAGATATTGGTGTTTTCATAAAAGGCTCCACTCCTGAATAAGGTGCTGGTAAAGTCTCAACTATGTGTACTTCATCCTGTAGTGTCTCAATGAAATGTTGCCAGTTGAACAGATCCTTGAAGTCACTGAACCATATGATGCATATAAGTTTGCTTCACTTAATACCGATAAAATAAAAAAAAGAACATGTTGCATCTGTATTGTATCAACTACAACTAAGAAAGGAAATGAATGACTATTGAGCCTTGCATTTATTACATACTCCAGTACTGACTACTGAGTTGAGAAAAGCTCTCGGGATATCATGATCCAGCATGTAGTCTTATTAAGATACAAATTCTTGCCCACAAGAAATCAGGGCCCTTTGAGCAACATACCCATATCAGATGAAATAAGTTGGAGCTTGTGGCATCCATCATTCTATCTAATAGGGAAATCTAGACCTTACAGAAATAGTGCAAGACCGTGAAGCTTAATATACAGACCTGTCATCTGCCCAATACGAGGTGTGATCAAGAGAGGGAAGGACCAGTGTTGCCTTCATAATCTTAGCCACAGCAACCATGTCACAGATCTACACATTAAGAGCTTTCAGATGATCAGGATGTAGTCATAAATAAAGGAACAATCTGGAAATAGAAACTCAGAAATAAAGGAGAATAAGCAGCCAGACCCCAAATCTCATCTGATTTAAGCCACCATTAGCATTTATGAGGATATAACCATTTGTTTTTGCATCTAGCTCTGTCAAGGCATGAGACCAAGAATTAGAGGTAACGAACAACTGTAAACAGCAGGGGAGATAGACAAACTGAATATGGATGAGAGGAGAGGGATTACTAAATGTTCAACCAGTTCAGTAATCATACTTTTATGACTTCTTGGTAAGTCAATGCAGTGGGTGAAATTATCACTGTCAGGTCTTGCCCAGATACCTGACAACTAAACCATAAAAAATGAACTTCAGAATAGAACCCACATAACACATGAACCTCAAAACCCTTTTCACTCTGAGTAGCCACAGGGGCAAGGGAAGGTATGAAGCCACCATCTGAATGAAGAACAAGAGAATGGAACTCAACCCTTACCTCAACCTTGCCACCAATACTGTTAGCTAGTCCAGCGGTCACCATTTTTAGATTTCGATCCACATCCTTTTTCATTCAAGTGTAGGAATTACAGTAAGCAATCAGAAAACAAGTACCCAAAATGAAGGACAGAGTAATGAGACTGAAGACTTACTTCCACCTTGGCATCATCACCAAGAGATACGCCTGCAGTGACCGCCTTCAGATTTCTATCTCCATCGCCATTGTCTTTATACTCAAAAGTGTCAGAAATGTGGGAGCTCTCATCCAAGTCTACTTGGGTGACAGAATCAGGCAAATCCTATTGGAACAGCAGGGCAATGTTACTACAGAGGCCGAGGAAAATAACAATCAATTCATAGATATCCACAAGAGGAGCGCACATAGCTAAGAGAGGCAGCCAAAATCAAACAAAACCCAGGAGTGGAGGTTCATTGGAACTCCCGAATTGGCAAATTCAAAGCAGGAAATTCGAGCCAACAATCTAAAACGAGGCATATGGAATTTTACTCATTGTAGCAGTGCACCTACTTCCGTCTGTATCTGTCTCACTACTGCTAGATCTTAATGAAAGCAATAGGAATCCATTATCCAAAAAGCAAATCAACGGCGATACTTCATTCAACTGCACTGAGATTCACAATTAGCCTGAAGCCAGCAAGTAATCAAATAAACCGCCGGCAAGCAGCTCCGGCTGGATAACTGGAGACTGGCACCATTTGCCAGAATGACATCAGCTCCGGGCGACACATATGGCACTTAGCACAAAAAAGCTCGGCCACCGACATATGTAGGACAAAGCTCTAAATTCCAAACCACAAACTTCTGTGCCGATGGAAGCTCCAAAAGTAAATTGGAAAAGAGAAGAGGGAGACAGAGATAGCGAGAAAGGGGCACACCACACCGACCTGATGGTAGGTGGAGCCGTCGAGCGCAGATCCAAACCAGCCGCCGGCGCAAATCTTAAACACGCCTAGAAACAAACAAACGCCGCAGAAGACAAAGAACATCCACTGCCCGAGCTTCTTCCGCTCCCGGAAGCCAAAATCCCGCACGACGGATCCGATTCCCCCGCCGCCCTTCTTACTACTCCTGGCGACACCGGCGTGTACTCTCTGGACGAGGTGCTGGCGATCGAAACCGTCCACGACGACGACTTCAGATCTAGGCGAGGTGATCTGGAGATCAATCTCGTCCCCCCCGGAGCCGAACCTGGGACTGGCCCCGGCGCTGTTGGCCGTGCTGTTGCTGGCCGTCTGAGCAGCGCTGCCACCGCCGCCGTTGCCCGCGGCGCCCGTCGCATTACCGGCGGCGGAGACAGCGGCTGCGGGGGCGGCGTTGGTGGTGGCGTTGGGGTTGCGCTTGAAGGAAGTGGCCCGGCGAGTCATGGAGCCCGTGAAGCGAGGGCTATTGACTCGCTGCGAGACGCCATCGCTGGTGTTGTGCTGATGGGCGTGGGAATGAGGGTGGTGTCCCATATATAAATGACAAATGAAATGGAAGATTTACAGAGCTGCTGTGCGGAGCAGGAGAAGAAGACGAAGAGGAAGAGAAAGGGCAGAACAAAATTGGGAGCAATTAATATAGAGATGGGGGGTACGTAGTCGCTGTATTTGTGGTTGTTTGTTATTTAATTAGGGATGAAGGAGCCGGAGATGGCAATCGCGATTGAGGAATTGACGTGGTCGATGAGGAGGAGGAAGAAGACGACGGCGGCGGAGAGAGTGACGACGGCGATGAGATCGCCATTAATGATGAACTGTGGAGGAAGAAGAAGAAGAAGGGGAAGAGATTGAAAGGAATGGGAGGGCGGTAATTGAATCTGTTTGGGTGTGTGTTGTAGTGCGGGCGGTGGTCGGGAAACTGATTTTTGGACAGGAAGGAATTTATTTCGGGAAATTCTGTTTTTTGAAACAAAAAATATATTATTGATTTGTTGTCAAAAAAGGACGCAAAATTAAAAATAAAATAAAAAATCAGAAAGGGAAAGGGAGGGAATTGGCATTTGGCAGCAGCTGGCCAGTTGTGATTTGTGAATGTGGACTCTCTCTCTCTCTTCCTCTGCTTTTACACTGTCCAAATCCATTCCTCCTCTCAGGTCTCACAGCTCAATTATTATGTATTTTCCCCCTTTTCTACAATATTTGATTTTTTGGCCTTTAACCATAAAAAAAATAAAATATTTGACCTTTTAATTAAATTTAAATTAATGCTGGGATTTTCAGACGGATTCGGGAGATACACACAAAGATTCACTTTTCCTTTACGCAATGTTGGTTAATTTGCGTTATTTAACTTTGTTGAATTAGCTCAATACGTACTAAAATTATTTTAATCTTCAATTATATAATAATAATAATAATAACGTACAAGAAAATATGTAAGCTTGCATGAAAATTCAAATTGGTTGCAAGTGCTTGTATTTTAAGCACTTCTGAAAATGTTAGCTAAGAATTGTTATAAGTACATGTTTACGAGTAAAATATATGGAATCATTTAAAATTGAGATTGTAACTTGTTTGATTGATTAGAATTTTATATCTTATAATTCTACTTTAGTTTTAATCAGAAATACAGCCAAAATAAGAAAAAATGGGTCGCGCCCTAATGTATTAAAAATGAAAGGTCATTAAGTTAATATTACAATATACTGAACTAGATACAAATTTGATCATCTTTTTTATACTAAAATTGACGATCTTTAAAGAGGAGGGAAAAGGGAACAAAGCGAAAGATCCAATTGCGCGAAACAAGTCCAATTGGCAGTTGTCATCCTGCTTATGCAATCATAGGTCAATTTTATACGGCCTTTTTTGGTAGAGTAGACAGACTCACAATTCACAAACCAACATTTCGTGCATAGGCGGCAGGAAGTCCTATAGGGTACTACTACTAACCTATCAGCTAATAGGAATTTTAAATGCTCTCTAAGATTGGTTTGTCTGAACTTTGACGGTACAAATTGAATTTGCAACTTTAATGCTATGGTACAAATTTATTTTATATTTTTATGTACAAAAACTTAATGATACAAATTGTACATGTACATTTGACGTTGTGTTATAAATTCAATGTTTCCTAGCATAGTAGATGAGTTCCTCGGCTAAATGAACTTGTGTGTGGTCTCTATATGTCCTGGGCTAAATGAACATGTACATTTGACGTTATGTTATAAATTCAAACACTCAACTGCTTTTTTTAAAGTACTTTTCTAAAAGCTCTAGCCAGAAGCTGCTTCTGTAAAAGCTACAACCGGGCCTAACTAGTCATTTACTTCCTTCTGGTTTTGGATCTGGGAATGAGACGTAATATCCTTTCCTTGAAAAAAATCACGAGTCGTGCTCCTCTCAGTTTTCAGTGTTGGGAGAATTTTCTCCATGATTGTAAAGCTGTGCCGGAAACCGTAAAAGTTAGCGACAAATTATTTTATGTTGAAATCATGATTTAGTCGTGATTCAACTGTTCATTATCACTAAAAATCATTTACCAGTTAATTTTTAAGATTAGAAATATTAGATTTTCTTCATATGCTCAGCGATAGGTTACTATTTTTTCATATTTAAAATTTGGTATCATTTGAATACTTCAAAGAGTGGTCTGGTATTTTAGAAGTAGATGCACATTGGTGAAATTGTCAACAAAAACAATTGAGTACATAGTAGATGTTTGTGTTTGAATATATCATTGAAAAGTGAAGGGGTGAGTTGATCTTGCAATATTTTTACTAGAGGTAAATGTCTAAATGAAATTATTCAAATGTGTGATTAGAAAGATATATAGAAAAAGATTACGTATTATTAGATTACAAAGATATTTATATGAAAAGATTACGTGAATTGAAGCTCACAATAATTTTAAAATGATATTAGAAAGATATATATATTCATATTTTATTGAGAAACTGATTATTTGATCAACCGGAAATATCAATCGGAAACATCTATTTAAACCAAGTGAGTTTAGTTTCTAAGTCGGAATTAAACAAATTTGTTATTTCCATAATGTTAAACAACATTCAAATACAATATAAACATGTTTCATTACAACTTTGGTGGGATTTTAAATAAAAAGAGACTGGTCAAGCGCCTGGTTCGAACCGGCAAGCTCCGTTTTTTTCCTTTCATTTTATCTAATGAACCGGCAAGCTTTTTAAATATGCATTGATTAAAATTCAAATTTTTGGTCCCGGCGGGGCTCGAACCCGCGACCTTCGGCTCATAAGACCAACGCTCTAACCAACTGAGCTACGGGACCATTACTTGTTAGTTTTCGTTTTTTCAGAAATATAAACTACTGTTCATTACCAAATTGATTATGGAACTCTCCAATCTAAAATTACATCATAAAAATAATTAGAGTAAATATTAAAATCAAAGATTATAATGACGAATTCTTCATATATTCGTTTAGGGATTACAAATTCGAGGTGACCAGCCATTTTACCTCACCTATTTCACTTGTTTTGGGCGGGCATGGGCAATCTCCTTCACCTAACTTGACTCGTCCGTCAGTTCCATTATCGACCCATTTTTTCTAAATTATCTATAACTTTACTCAAATTATTTAGGATTTTGCTTTTATTACATCAACTGCTCTAGTAATTTAACTAGGACAACCTCAATTTCTCGAATAATTTATCATGTTATAGTTTGTTTCTTTATCTTTTTAATTAAAACATGAATAGTTCTAATATTTTTCCTTTAAGTTACATACTCATATGACTATGACTCGACAAGTCCTGACCAATGTCCCATAATAAATTACCCAAACTTGACCCAACCTCTCACAACCAAAGAACGGGTATAGGTATAGAGATACCGGCCAACCCGACCTGCCCCATTTTAATTCCATTACTACATTCGTGTCATTTGTTGGTTCGTTTTATGTAGATCCGTTGCTCATATATCTCTACCTCTTTTGTAAATAAGGTTTTTCATCTGAAGTAATAGAATTGAGTAATGAAAGTAAATATTATTAGAAATTTCTTTTTTTCTTCTTCTTTTGTGATGAGAAACTCCAATATTGATTACAACTAGTATATTATTTAAAAACTAATTGAAAACCCCAACTGGCCAACTACACCTAACTCAATTTAACTTGAACCATTTCAATGTCTCGCATAAAAAATGTAACATCGCGTAATGCGAACATCATATGTCAACACGAAACCACTTTCATGTCGAACTAGACAATTACACCACTGCAACATTCAACTTTGAGTTGAGTTGATCGTTGTAATATGTTGAGACTTCAACATCTCCCAATCTTTTCAAATGGATGGAAATTTAGGTTTAGTAAATGGGTGGTGATGGGTCTTCTAGTAGGTGTCTTTGTCCTTGTCTCGACGAATAAGATGGATTAAGTCGTCATTAAAAGAGGAAACATAATGGCCAGCTAGCTAGGAAGGAAGTCCACAAAAAGTATAGTCGACACCTAATTTATGCTGTAGGAACTAATGCCTTTGTACTGTTGCCGGCTGCCCCTAGGAATGGCAATGGGGCAGGTCTGGGGGCGGGTTTCTTGGTACCCAGACCCGTCCCGTGGCAGGGCGGGTCCAGGTCGGGTAATTGATCACGGGTCGCGGGTCGGGCCAGGTCGACCTAATGGGTATGCAATTTATTTGAAAAACATTAGAAATATTCGTTATTTTTATTATAAAACTAAGAAAATAAACAATATTATGACAATTGTAGTTAAATTATTGAAGAAATTGAGGTTTTCACTAATTTACAACTTTATTATAGCTAAAATATGATGCAATAAAAGTAAAATTCAAAGTAATTTGACTAAGATTTCATGTAATTTAGACAAGAACGGGTCGAGAATGGGGCGGGTCAGGGCAGGTCGGGTCGATGAGACTACCCATGCCCGCCCCGCCCCGCCTACGGGACGGGTCAGACCCGCCCCAAAACAGGTCAAACAGGTCGGGTAAAACGGGTCAGGTCGAAATTGCCATCCCTAGCTGCCCCGACGAGTAGAAGCATTTTGTTCAGCAACTGCCCTTTTTCCCCAGCTTTATGTAGTAGTATAGGTAATTGGGGCAGAGATGGAAAAAAAATACTCATAATTAGTTAATTACGCATACTAATCCGACCTGATCGTGCATAGTAAAACATGAACTAAATAAAATGCTTAATAGTATGGATAAAATCCGAAGCAGAACATCATGTGTAATAGTGCGGGTATGGTTTTATCACTATCCAATCCGAACCATCCATGCATATACAATATTTTATATAAATCTTCATTTTTTTAATTTAACATATTTGGTGTTCTAGTGTATTCGGAGCATCTAATAAACTAGTATTCCTTTTTTTTTATTTCTCATCATTTTTCACTTATGTAACTTTAATATAATTGTGATTAGTAATACAATAGTTAAAAGATAAAGAATTTTTTTATACATAGATATCCATAAATACCCGATATCTAATTGAGTACGAATATGAATTTATTTACTATGAGAACCTTACATAACTATGAATATAAATAAACTCCGAACTAATTATATAGGATAATACATGCTCACTATCTATTTCGGATCCCACTCGTTTTCATCCTAAGTTGGGGAAAAGGAAAATGGCGAGAAGAAATGGTTGGGAAAACGATGGATGGTGTTGTGGGAATGGTCCAAAATGGAGGACAACAAGACCCAAACCTTGCACCTCTCAGTTCTCACTCAAGTCTTTCTCTTCCCCGCGTCGCTTTATTGACTTGGACAATTGTTTTCCAATCCAACCAAATCATTCCAATTAAGTTAAACCAAAGGAGACAAAAACAAAAATTTTACATTAATATGGAGAAAGCAAAACAATTGTTTATGACACAAATCTTTACGAAGTAATGATGAAATAGTTCCAAGGCAAAGAGCCCATGTTTATTCCGTGTAGTATGATACTCATTAGGAGAGGGCGAGAGGCCACTTGGGGGTGTTAGGCGTATGAATAGGGGTG